TATATCTATATAGATATAGATATATATATATATAGACTTAGATTTATTTGTCATTTTGTTTACAGAATTTACTCCCTGGACAATTTAATCTTTTTTTTAAAGTGCAGCCTTGAAAAATAGTCAAGATAAATATATAAAAACAGTAATATAAACACATGACTGTAAATTTACAGTTCTAACATTTTCTATTTTTTATATATATAATGATTAAATATAATAAAATACAATATATATATGTGTGATTTCAAATCCCTATTGCTCTGATGAAAACCCTAGCAGACACACAGGCTGCTGTAGCTCCCCCTGGTGGATGGCAGGTGATATAACATATGTCATCAACAATTAGTGACTAAAACTGAAACAGATCCAGTCATTCATTCAATCAATCAGTCTTTAAATAGTTTTTAACCATCCAATCCTATGTGGATGGAGGTGGAGTCATGATCCAGCGGCCCCAGGACACCCTGCTCAGGGCCCCCAGGGGCCCAATCAATGATATTCATCAGTAGGCTATATCCCAGTGTTTCCACCAACAAACCCCACTGTGGAATCTGGAGGTCCCAGTTCAGTTTCGGGGACCGGTCCGACTGGCCTGAACTCACCCAGCGTGGGTGTGTACCGTGTAAGGGGGCGGGGCAGTGACAGGTGAGGTGGAGTTAGCAGAAAATAAAAAGGACTGACAGGTTAATAATGACAGGTGTGACTGTGGCGTGGGGGCTCCGTCCGTGGTTCTAGTTTTAGTTTTTAAAGTCTCGCGCTCAGACTAAAGTTTCCCTCCGCGCGCGTCTCTTCCTGTTTTATCTCCTTCTTTTAACAGGAGTTAAGGAGCCCCTGGTTCACCTGGGCTTGGATAGAAGCCCCCCCCCTTCCTGGAGCAACTTTTTAGAGGAGTTTTATTAAAGCCTGTAGTCATGGAGACAGCAGGCAGTCAGAGAGGGGCACAGGAATATCCTCATCCTTTCATCCATGAGGTGAAGCTGAGCAGAGCTCAGACAATCAGGGTAAGATGGCTTCTTTTATTATCAGCTAAAAGTTTTAATTACCGTACCTGGAAAATGTCAAATTAAATCTCCTCTAATTAATTATTTTAGCTATTTTTAATATAAATATGTAGGAATTGCCATTGTTTTCTCTCTCTGTTGTGTTTTTCTGATGTCACCACTTTCAAAAATTGACTTCCTCCCCAGCATCTGGCATAAAACCATTTTTATTGGCTTTAACAATATTGATTTAAACCTAAGCAAAAGAGCAGAGTCATAAATGTGTTGATCATAGACAGGTGTGACTGATAACAGCATGCCATATGCTTGCATAAGGAGCATGGAGAGGGCAGGGCAGCCTGATGATGAATGCTCTCTACAGGATTTTCCACATTTTTTGTTCTGCTGTTTTTAGGTGGGGTGATTTGTTTTGAAAGTCACACCATAGAAGAATGCCTGGTTTCAGAACAAAATGTTTTATTTTTGTTAGCTAGTTTGTGACCAGATCAGGTCTAATATTGATTCCTTCCTTCCTTAGGGGGTTATCCTAGGCAGCGTCCTCGTCCCTCTCCGCATCACGCTGGCAGCCTTATTCTTCCTCATCATGTGGCCCATAGCCCGGCTAAGACTGGCCGGCCTGTCCAAAGAAGAGCGAGCCCGGCCCGTCACAGGCTGGCGCCGCTGGCTTTTCCACCCCATCATCTGGCTCCTGAGCAGAGCCGTGTTCTTCTCCATGGGCTTCCTGTGGGTCAGGGTCAAAGGTCGCAGGGCCGACCTGAAGGAGGCCCCGGTCCTGGTGGTGGCCCCCCATAGCGGCTTTCTAGACATGCTGGTTCTGTGCCCGACCCAGCTGGCCACTGTTGTGTCTCGGTCAGAGAACACCAGTCTGCCTGTCATAGGAGGTAATTCCTGAAGCTTTTATAGTCCCCACACTTTCATTAAATACAGTCCAGGTATTCCTTAAATTTTTCCTTAAGTTGAGCAGGTAGAACAATAAGACAATGGAAAACAACGATTTACATTTTAAAATAAGTTTAAAAAAACAACTTAATTCAATTCAGTTTATTTCTATAGCGCCAAACACAACATGTCATCTCAAGGCACTTTACAGTTCAACCAGATGATCCAGTCAAATTGATTCAAAGTTTTCTATCTAAGGTAAACCAGTTGATTGCATCGACTCATTGACTCAAATGCAATCCCTCAAACTAAGCATGCTTGTAGCGACAGTGGAGAGGAAAAACTCCATTTAAACAGGAAGAAACTTCCAGCAGAACCAGACTCAGTGTGAGCGGCCATCTGCTGAGGCCGACTGGGGTTCAAGGATAATCATCCTATCTCAGCTACATAATATCTAATCATCTTATTTAAAGGGCAAAAAATACAAATTTAATTGGCAGATCATCTCATTTACCAGCTCAAATTAAGGACAAACACTTATTTTAAACCTTTAATTTTTTACGACAATTATTGCAGCGTGGAGAACTGGTTAACCTTAGTGAGTAAATGAATAAAACAAGAACTGCTTTCAGAAACTTTAATATTCTAACCATTATTTCTGATGTTTGGATCTTAACCAGCATCATGGCTAATGGAGGCACTGAGGCTATTAAAGCAGGATTTTTAACTCCAGGTGTCAAAGTAAAGAGCCTTGTTTATACATGAGGCTGAAAATGTGGATTGGAAGAATTAACATAAAATCAACTGTAGGTTTGGGTTTTTTTTAACACGTAATTGCAGCATTTTGGTTGGTTGATGGTTTCTGTGTCGCAGTCCTCTTGGAAAAATTGGGTCTTTGATCTGCTGGAGCTTAACAGCTGAAATCCTACAGAAGCCCTTTCTAACAGTAGAAGCTGTTGCTGGGAACGGATGTTTTTAAAGTTTTTATCTAAAAGAGAAACTAAACATTTCTGTAGCTGCAGAATCTGTTGGTCTTTGTTTATATTTACAACTCTGACTCCATGATGCAGCGTCTGCACACTTTAGCCCAGCTAGGAATCCAGGTGGAGAGGAAGCTAAGCTGCGTTTACGAGCAATCTGTTCTCCATATCTCCTGCAGGTTGATTTGTCCCTTCTTTGTTTCACACTTTGTGTCTTTTATTATCAACATTTTTCCTCATCACTAAAACGCATCATATGAAAATATTAGAGTATCTTTTTGTTTTAGTTTGCACCAGCCAGAAAAGTGATGATGGTGTTGTTGTTTTTTTAAACAACCTGATTGACAACCAAAAAAATAAACTAATCCACTACATTGATGTGATCCTGCAAGCAGGAGGTCATATGGTTATTTTAGTTTAATCAGAGGCCACAATTTGTTGCCATTTGTAACGGCTCGACACCTACAAAAGAAGAAAATTGTTTGATAATAGATTAAATTCAGTTGAATTAAAATTAATATTGATGGATTTTCATTATTATCTCTCATGCACAAAAAGCTTTAAGAAAATCTCTAAAGACAGAAACTCAATTGTTTAGTAAATCACCATAATGTGTTTAAAAAAGACCAAACCCATAAATGTGATTCACACTGGAAGAGCAGTTTAACGCCTCAGTATTTAAAATAAAAGGAGTGGACTTAATCTCTAATCAAGATGACTAAAAACGATAAACTGACAGCTACCAAAAGTTTGTAACTTCCTTTAACTTAAGCAGGTTTGGCTTCTTTTAAACATTTCAACTAAAACCTTTAAATCCAACATGATATTAACCTTTGTGGAAAACGCTTCTGCAAAACTCTGATGGATGTAATTCAGTGTGATGGCTTTCAAAGGAGAAAAATGATCGTATATATGAAGAGACATTCAGGATATTGGTTTAATATCATTTAAAAGCTGCGGTAGCAAATTCTGCAATGGGTTGGAGATTATAATTCACTGACGAACCTGAGAAATTAGCAAAGAATGCAGATTATTGGTGAGAATTATGATGTTTTTGCTGAGTCAGCAGGTCAGACCTGCATGATAAAAATAACTAGAATCTTTACACCAAACCATTGCTAAATAGTGAAGTATTAGAGTAGCAGAGAGTGAGGAAGGAGGAGGAATGCCTGCACGTTCAACAATAAACAAGTGGCTAATTTTGTTAGCATCTTCCTGCCTGACTGTAACATTTCTTAATGATCCTTTTTTAATCTTCTGATTTAATGCAGTGTAATCTTTATTTTTCTGTGTTCCAGCTCTGCTGGAGTTCAACCAGTCTGTGCTGGTGAGCAGGAAAGATCCAGAGTCCAGGAAGAAGGCCGTCACTGAGCTCATCGAGAGGCTGACCTCTAAAGGCTACTGGCCCCAGGTGTGATGTTTACTTCTGTCACCAGTGATTTTAAAATAGATAAACTGGAGCAAAAACGTACAGAAATGTATATCAGGATCCAGTTTGTTAATTTAAAAACAAAAAAACTTTTTTTTTTTATTCAAAAAAATCCTTTTATATTTAAACCTATACAGAAATACTTTATTCATTTAATTTTGATTTGTAAACCACAACAAAAAACTTGCTAAAATTATAAAAAGCATGCATTTAAATGTGCCCCTGGTAGATTATCCACTTTTTGTCATTGTGACCTTATAGCCTCTAACAATTGCACCCTGTTTATATAAACCATTCATAGTCCATGCATGTATATAGTCTCTGTGCACATTAATATTTATATCCTATATAGCACTTTAGGATAGATGCAATCTACATTTCAATAACATGACAAAGTTTAATTCTATTCCATAAAGTAAAATAACTGCTGTCCAGTAGGTTAAAGGTATTGTGGGGGATTTTTTTAAAAGACCCGCCCTCCCCACTTAAAAAAACAAAAAATAAAAAAATTGCGTGCAACAGCGTGCACAAGCCCATTCCCCTCGTGCACGCCCTGTTTAAAATGTGCTGTTCTGTTATACAAGCTTACTGTGCCCAGAAACAGCGGGAAATATATAGTGGACTTTATAGCAAACTCAGTTAACTGACAGTTCAGACAGATGATCACTGCTTTTTGGTCCGTTGGTGACATAACTCCTCCCCCACCGCGTGGTGCCTGTGCCATCTTTGTTATTAGTCGCCAGCTGTAACAGCAAATAAGAGCTCTCCGCGCAAAGAATTTTGGGATATATCTGCCTCTTCAAAGGCCTTTCTTTTCTTCTCATACATTTCGTAGACACTTTTTCCTCCTACGTCCCTCTGCCACAAGAACTGTGGTGAGAAAGATGAGCTTCAATGACTATCTGAAACCGCAGCTCACCACACATATACGCCTGAAAGTGTGCATGTGCTTAAAAAGATGGCTAACGGGGCGAGCACGTAGGACGGCCTTATGTAAACATATCACCAGAATGATTGACAGTTAGGAGGACCACTTATTGAGATGATCCACCCTGAAAATAAAAGATAACTCTCCTTGTTTTATTAGGCATGAAAGCAGGGGGATCTATCGTTTGCACACTAATCTTTTCACTGATGGAAACATGTCCAAATTTATGTTCCTTTTCCCAAAAAAAAAAAATAGAAACACACAAAGTTTAAGCCATAGGAACTTTATGATGCATAATTAGAAATATTTTTTAAAATAACTTTTCATTAATACACTAAATGCCTTCCTGTATAGTTTTTTTTATGATATGCTAACGTTAGAATTTACAACTAAAGCATCTTTTTATTTTTCAGATGCTCATGTTCCCAGAGGGAACCACCACTAATGGCCGAGCTCTCATCAAGTTCAAGCCTGGTAGGTTTCTGCAGTGATGTTTCAGAGCGAACCGTCCTGTCTGCCTCACCTGATCCAGGCAGTCCTGTTTGTGTAAATCATACAGGAACGGTTGGAGTTTCTTGTTTTTCTGCCTGATGACTTAGTACTTTTCCACTGTCTTTTCTTTCTCTTCTTACACCATCTTTGTCTCTGGATATCAGGTGCCTTTCTTGCTGGAGTCCCTGTCCAACCAGTGCTGCTACGTTACCCAAACAAACTGGTGAGAAGGTTTAGTGCTTCAGGTTACACACTAACACTGTTTATAAAACTGTAAACAAATGATTATCTGTAAGTCTCCAGTTTTTAGGTTTACCTTCAATAATTTCTTTTCTGATCTTTTAACCATGAGTTTTGGATGATCGCTTTAGAAGCGTCTTTTCCAACTGTAGGTGATGTTCTAGTAAAGCAGGCAAAAGATCAATGAAGCAGATGTAGTTTTTACTCTTTAGTGCAGCTTTTAGATCAACCATTGGAGTAGAAGAAGCTGCAGCCTTTTTTTCCATTTGTCCTGTTTTTGGAGAACGGCATCATGTTTTACTTTCTTACACTCATTCAGCAAAAAATTATTATAATTTTTGAACAGATGCAGTTTTCTTTTGCATATTCCCTGTTACTTTCTCTAATGTTTGCAGGCGCTGTCTAGGGAAGTGTTTGCATAGTGCAAATATATCACTGTTTGTAGTGCATAAAAAAATCTTTGAGTGGAAGATAAAACCTTTTTTTTCCCCCATTTTCCACTGTTTGATCTTTGATTTTATGACTCTTCCTCAGGATACGGTTCGATGGACGTACAAAGGAGCATCATGGTGAGTTCTTTACACGTTTAGTTTTATATTTCAATGGTTTTTATTATTTTTTTTTCCAGTTAATTTCAAAAATACTAAATCCTAAAGGGGAATTAAAAGTTGCAGCAACTAACGGGCACCTTCATTTAATTAGTTGATATAGGGCTTTTTTTTTTTTTTTTTTTTTTTAACAGTCTCAGAATTTGCGACACTAAATTAAATCCACATCATCACCCTTATAAAGAAAGCACTATTTGGTTAAAACATTTTAAAGACATTAAAAATAATAATAATTTTAGCTTTAAATGTTTCATATTGCTTATAAATGGCTCTAAACCTGTATGGATTTGGCTTAGAAGAAAAATTGCATGCGTGTCCAAACGTCTGCTCTAACCCCTTAAACGCTACATAGAGCGAGAACTATATAGTGAACTCGGTTAACTGACTATTTGGACAGATGATCGCTGCTTTTCGCTCTCTGTTGGTCACGTAACTCCGCCTCCTGACACAGTGCCATCTTTGTTCCTTATCATCCCCAAAAGCAATCCCATGATGCTTTGCGAGGGGAGCTCTTGCAAAGCATTGTGGGATGTATGTGCTAGTGTAGCGGCCATGGATCTGTCCCGGAAGCACGATCCGTCCTGGGCATGAGCGAACAGATATACATCCGGGTGTCAATAAATAATGTAATTATGGTTCTAAAATTAACCCACTAAAGAAAGCAAATACACATCTTTAAAAATGTTTTTTTTTTTTTACTTTTTTGTGACAATTTTGATGCTTTTTGCATTTTCTCTCCGTTTAACTGTTTTTCATGACGTCATCATCCTCAGAGCAGTCTGGCAAAATAGGATTAAACCATGTTTATCTGCATTTTAGTTGTTTCTTTCTTTAGATTACGCGCTATATACCATAATGTTAACACAAAAGGAAAAACATAAAACTCAAAGACTGGATTTATGTTTAAATCCAAAGCTGAAAAAGTTAGCCACCGGAAGTAGCGTAGGACACCATTTCCGGTGCAGATCCGGCACATTATAGTTTAGTACAATCACTATTTTTGGAGAGGGGAAAAAGTCATTTAGGTATTTTTAGTAAAATAAAATTGAGGGCGACCCGGATGTATATCTGGATGCACATGCAGAAATGAGCTGCTGGTGCATGCGCAGAACGGATCGTGCTTCCAGGTTGGATCGATTGTGACAATGGTTGCACACTACTTTTTAAGGTGCATTGTGGGGAAATTTTTAGTCTACTAATTTTTCATCCACTAGACGCTCGGACACTCTTTTAAAATGGTGTAACCCCTTCAGTGCTCTAAGCAGGGATTAGGGTAATTAATTTGAACACAGCCAGTATGTTGGTATAAAATTGGCTTGGATTTCACGACTTATTATTTGTCCAATCAGCCACAAAATAAATTTTGTCCGATCATTTCATGAGGCTAAACTGGAGGATGATAAAGTAAATAGATAATGGGTGAATAAGACTATAGTTATTCAAACACTACTTTTATGTTTCTTAATTATTCTAAAAGATTTGTCCAGACTTTTTAAGGTTGGGTTAATCTTTTATCAGAGTTAAACAAGTGTGAAAACGGTGCATATGTTTCAAATGTTAAACATCTTCCAGAACGATGCAACTAAGGCTAAAGCTTATTTTGATGGTTGAATTGCATCACATTTCATTCCAATTCCATCTATCATTGGCAGTGAAAAACAGAAAAAACAAGCAGATTTAATTCAGACTCCAATCACGTAGTGTTTGAGTAATGCTAACGCTACAATCTTTGGTATTTAGACTCGTTCAATATCAAGCAGCAAAGACTGGAAACTGCTTAAGGCCATTTTAAAACAGAGTCTTGGCAGGGGTTAATGAATTTTAAAGTTCAACAGCTCTAAAAATCCCTATTAAATCGATATCAATTCAGTTTATTTATAAGGCGCCAATTCACAACACATGTCATCCTAAAGCACTTTAAAATTCAACCAGATCATCCAGTCAAATTGATTCAAAGTTTTCTAAGGAAAACCAGTTGATTGCATCGACTCATTGACTGGAAAGCAATCCCTCACACTAAGCATGCTTATAGCGACAGTGGAGAGGAAAAACTCCCTTTAAACAGGAAGAAACCTCCAGCAGAACCAGGCTCAGTGTGAGCGGCCATCTGCTGAGGCCGACTGGAGTTTAAGAAAATGGAAGCAGAGAAACAAAAGGCAGCTGTAAGCCAGCTCTACATATCGACACAATCCCGCTCCTAGAAAGGTTATATCAGTTTGCGTAAATGCTTTTTGATAAACCTTTAAACACAGATGGCTTTCACATTTGGAATTTGGTTTTGTTGTTTTGTTTTTTGGGTGGTGTGCCACCATTAATGTTCTATCTGAAGCACATCATGATAATGAGTAAAACTGTGATCTAAAGCAGCCAACATTAGAGCGGTTTAGTTTAATTTTCTGAACTGACTGACAGGAAACACTTGAAATGTGACTGTCTTCCGTGTTTCTCACAGATCACTGGACGCACACAGCCTCCACCCTCTATTAGGGTCCATTATCAGCTGCTATCCAGCCAAAAGTAAATAATGTTTAGAGAGATTAATAAAATATTTGCATAAATTTTTAGATCACTCTTAGGACTGGGGTTGTTCTGGGACACTAGTGCTCTGTTCTCTAACTAGCTATTAGATTTAGCTGCTCGGACTAACTAATGTTGAAAATGGAAAAACAAAAAATATGAAATAAACTGTTAATTTGTACAGAATATTAATCTGCCAAGAATTGAAACTAATCAGCCTGAGTGGCAGTTAAATAAAATGTATAAATATATAGGTTTCTCTTGCTTTTTGCACAAATATCAGAAACTTTTAAGAATATAAAGCTTATGGCCTTACTTTCAAAATATGAATGCTAACTTCCATTGATTTGTAATGTTTAGCAAATATGTGCATTTATTTTTAGTATTATTTATTTTGTACTACTTGTTCAGCTGGGATTAAAAATATCACCTTGTTGTTTATAAAAACAAATAATCTTTTTCATACCGCTTTGCTTGACGTTTGGTTAATGTTGGATAAATCTGTGTTCTTGGAATGCGTCCACTGTTCAATCTGACTAGTAACGGTTTGTTGTCACGCTGTCAGAATAATGTGCATTTTTGCAATGACTAATATTTTCTGTTTAATCCATCAGGACCGAGGCCGTGTGGCACACTGCTTCACAGTTTTACACAAACATGACTGTTGAGGTAAGATTAGCTTTTATTTCCCCTGCCGCCAAGTCGTAAAATAAAAACCTGTGTTTACTTAGGGTGTGTTCACTATTGGCACTAAAAGTTGCAGCAGATATGGCAGTTTTTACTCGTATCGGAAACATCTTAAAAAAAACAAGTCGGCCTTAAAGAAATAAACAATAGATAAGTGAAAAAATGTTCTTGTCTTCCTGCTTTTTTAGTTCCTGCCTGTTTACAAACCATCTGAGGAGGAGAAGCAGGATCCCAACCTGTACGCTGACAACGTTCAGAGACTCATGGCCAAGTAAGGAGACAAAAGACAGGTTTTTAATTTTGGAATAGATTAGCTCAACTTTAGGAACATTAGAAACTTATAAATGACACAGCAGGGATGATTTAACAAGAAAAACTCTCCTGATTGGTGGAGCTCCTTTTTCTCATAGTTCTGAAGTTTGTGGATGTAGTTGCAGATGGCTGCCACTAGGTGTAGCAGCTAAGCCAGGTTTTATTTTAAGGATTTTTTTTCTGCTCCAACTGAATGATTCTCCTTCATTAGAGCAGCTGAAATGCTTCTTTTTAGCTTCCTAACATTTCTTCACTGATCAACAGGGCTTTAGGAATCCCAGCCACAGACTATGTGATGGAGGGAAAATTTCCAGTGAGCAAACTGGGTGGGTTGTCTCTGCCGCTTGTGTCTCCTGGCAGAGAAACGTTGTCTCTCCTGCAGAAAGCTGGGTAACTATTCTTCTCCTGATTAAATGTTTGACTAAAGCTGCTACCTGTTATCTAAATTCACCACAATCCTTCCTCTCACTACTTTCTGTCTGTCAGGCTGCAAAAACATGAGATCGAGGCGGCTTTAGCCAGAATGATTGACAGGTGTCAGTCAGGAGGTCAGAGGTCAAAAGTCAGCGCAGATGAGCTCAGCTCTATTCTCTCTCTGAAGGACAGACAAACGGCTGTCTCCATCTGTGGCTTATACTCAAAGGTAACTTTACTGTTGGTCTGAATGGAGGACAAATATTTTCATTTAGTTCCACAGACATTCTAACCAGTGTTTCTCATGTTTTATTTAAAGTTGGGACTGTAAGACGTTCATTTCGATGAAATGGAAACATTTTAACACGTAAAAAATAAACTATTAATTACGTTTTCAGTAATGCTTTTTTTAACATAACATCAATAACCATGTAATAACATGGTAATAACATGGTAATAACATGGTAATAACATGGTAATAACATGATTATAACATAATAACATGGTAATAACATAGCAAGTCACACTATAGGACTTGGTAACAAGCAAAACTTTTTGGGTAATTACCCCAAGATTAAGATGTACATAATTTCTAAATGATAAACTACACGTAAATATTACAAACGTATGTGACTATGTAACATTGTAATTACATTAGGTTACCACATAACATTTCTATTATTGGCCACCACCTACAAATATAAAACTGAACTCAAGATGTACTGAGAAATATGAATTCAGCTAAGAAGATTGGCTTGCTGTCTTCTAGGTTTGGTTTTCTGTTATATAGCAATAAACTGAATTTTAACAGATAACACATTCATTTATTGCTGTCTGTGAAATGAATTTGAGTTACCTGGTGGTAGCAGTTTGAAATCTAGAAGTCTGACTTTACCTTTTCCGCCAAAAATTTGAAGCACAGCACTTAGTAAAATTCTAGTAATATAGTGTAACTTGCTTTGTTATTACCATGTTATTACATGGTTATTGATGTACTGTAAAAGAGAGAGTTACCGCGTTTTCTAATATAACCGCTTCTAAAATCTCAAGTAGGAACCTTTGCACATGAGGTTGTTGGGATCAGTGGTGGTTATAGAGTCTTCCAGCTGCTGGGAGGAAGGATCTGTGATAACGCTCCCTGGTGCATTTATGGTGCAGCAGTCTGTCACTCAGTTTTCACATTCCTATGGAAGTAGTTTTTTGTTGAAGATGTTGCATAAATGGTTTCTAAAAGAAAAAAGAGCATTGATTAAAACTCTCAACCAATGGTTGTCCTATGGTTATTCTTTCAATAATTAGTTTTTTTTTTTTTTTTATTAAAAAAATACTTTGTCAATATGGTTTTTGATAAAATTGGATTAATTGTATACAGACCCTTTAATAACTGTAGAATTTTAATCATGTCCTTATTTTAATGTTATCCTGTTGGCTCCATTTTTATTTTTTTTTTGTGATAATTTTGAACCTATTTTTTTTTTTTAAACCCAAACCTGTGTCATTAGCATTGATAGTTTTTAGCTTTTTATCCAAATAACCAAAAAACGAAACTTGATAAAACAAAGTGTCTTTGGTGCAGTTTTTTCCCCTTGTGTGATTTCATGTAACCTTTCTCATTGGTAGGATGAAACAGTGGACCTCAGACAGCTTTACTTCAGTGTTTCACTGCTTACCAACTCCCACAACTTCACAGAGCTGATCCACGCTGCTTTCACGGTACGCTCCATCGATCTTCATCTCTTACCAGAACTGTTTTTTTTTTTTATTGTTTTTTTTTGTTTGTTTTTTACTCTGTTTGCTCCATCAACCTCCCAGATATTCAGAGGTGTCAAGTAAGGAAGTACAAATACTTTGTTGCTGTACTTAAGTACAGTTTTTAGGTATCTATACTTTACTCCATTACTTTTCTTCCTACTTCTGACTTCTACTCATTACATTTTCACACAAGTATCTGTCCTTTCTATTCCTTACATTTTTAAAACAAACGTTACTCATTATTCTTGGCTTCAGTTTGTGCTCCATCCAATGCAGATCATTGGCGCCATCCACATCTAGTGAAAACGAGTGTTACTAGATGAGTCATATAACGCAAACACGCATTGGTTAGCTAAAGGAAATCATCAGAAGCAAACGGGTGTTCTTCAAACTGCAAACGTGAATTGTCTATGCCAGTGTTTTTCAACCCTGGTCTTCAAGGCACACTGCTGGGCATGTTTTAGATGTTTCCCAGCTTTCACACACCTGTTATCAGTTGATAGCAGATTATCAGGCTTTGCTGAACTGCAATCCTTTGAATCGGGTGTGCTGAAGCTCAGAAACATCCAAAACATGCAGAGCAGTGTGCCTTTAGGACCAGGGTTGAAAAACACTGATCTATGCCATGCTACAGTGTCGGATTCAGAAGAAGATGTTGAAATGTCTGAAAGGTCAGACATAGGCGAGAGCGAGAGTATCTGGAGATGGAGACCAACAAGACCTCCCTCATCCTTGGCACTATCTCAAAGAATTGTTTTTGGAATATTCAAAAAATTAAGCTTTCAATTCATATAGTGGCATCTGGCTGTTTTTTAAAGGTTACTCTAAATACTTTTACACTTTAAGCAGTTTTTGCAGCACATACTTTTTCACTTTTACTTGAGTAAAAAGGTCAAGTTGTTACTTCAACTTTTACCAGAGTGTTTTAAACTGCAGTATCTATACTTCTACTTAAGTAACAGATGTGTGTACTTCTGACACCCCTGCAGATATTCGACCAGGAGGGAAAAGGCAGCCTGAATGCAGAGGAGCTGTCAGACCTCATGGGGGCGCTGCTCGGTATTCCTCAGCATAGCACCGGTGCTCTTTACGCCGAGGCGTCCAGTCTAGGCCTGCTTACTGAAGGTGAACCTTTGTTTTCATTTCTGGATCGATCAGGACATTTTTATACCAGACTAAAACCTAAACGTCTCCCTGTTTGCTTCCAGAAAACCTGCTGCGAGTGCTGACCACCCATCCCACCTATGGGAGACTGCTGAGCGACCTCCTGCAGCCCGAGGAGGCGGGCTCTCCGCACGCTCCAGCAGCCAATGGGAAGGCTGTGAACAACAACCGATTCACCCACATCATCAACGGGTCTCTGCACCACGGGAAGAAGTTTGAATGAGTGTTTAGATGACAGACGATCCTACCAAGCGGATCCACAGATTTATATTTTTATACGTTTTATGACGGACATTCAGGTATTTTTGGATGTAATTTTATGTCGAGCGTAACTTGCACAAATGTGAAAACGCCTAAAGAGAATCCAAGATTTCCCCTCAGTGACTCTGAAGGTCTAAATGTTTACTGCTGTGTTTTTATCTTTTAATATTTGTTTTTGTGTTGTTTTTTTTCCACTGAAAGTTGAAAATAATTTATAACCATGTGACGTCAATGTAAGACACAAAGGTGTTTGTCAGAATAACTTATCATTGTAAAGTGTTTGTGATGTAACTGATTCTTAGTGTTTATTTGGAGAATAAACGGAGCTGTTTTAAGCGTGCGGTCAGTTTATTTGTTCACTATGGGGACCGATTACTCGTAGAGTCTCTCCTTCTTGCTTTATTCTGAGGAGGATGCCTCTCTGCTCCTGCTGTGTTTCCACCATCTCGTTTATGTTCCTTTTCCTCTTTCTTGGGTTTTTGCATTGCTGCTTTTGGCTTTCTGTGTTCTGATGGCTGAGCTGCTCCGGTTCAGTCGCCATCCCCAACGCGTTCCTTCTGTTTGCTAAAAGGTTTCCTGTTGGCAGACTGGTGTTGGCCCCCACAGTCTCTCTGCAACTCAACTCTGGGGTAAGGAGGCGTTGATCAGGACATCTCCCCTCAGCTGTTTTCGAAGAGCAGAGCTTCTTCCAGTTGGAGGGTCTCTTTGGTGCCTTTTCTGAGGCCTTTTCTTTATCAGCTGTTGGGTCTTTTTTGGACTTGGCAGGTGGAGCTTGATTCCTAGAAACCTTTGGCTTTTTGAACACGTCAACAGGCTGGTTGGGTTCATCTTTATTCTGTTTGGTCTTTCTTCTGTTCCTCGGACTCGAAAGGATTGAATGTTGGCCCTGATCTTCATACACGTTTATCCTCTCCTCTCTTTTTGTTGATTGTTTTATTTCCCTCTGAGCAGGCGGTGCTCTCTCCTTCCTGGTTTTGGTTTTCCCTCTTGTAGCCTTTGAATCTTCCCCCGTCTGCTCCTCCTTTCGTTCCTCTCTTGTGCAAGAAAGCCATTCCATCTTCTCCATTCTTTTACTGAAATCCAGAGGTTTTCCTTTTGGCTTTCTAGATTCCTGCCGCTTCTGTTGGAGCTGTTTGGCTTTCTGACCCTCCGTCTTCTCGCACCGTTTTGTTCTGACTGCACTCTTCTCTTTATAATCTACCTGCTCCGTTTTAATCGCCTGGTTTCTTTGCTCTCTGGTCCTTTGGCTTTTCTCTCTCTGGGTGCGTCTGATGGGAGCTAAAGTCGTTTCTACAGAACGATTCTCTGGGTTTCTTTTGCGGCGTCTCGGCCGCGCGTCACCAGACACTTTCTTCTCGTTCTTAAAGGTCATATCCTCTTTCAAACAGTCGCCCAGAGTAAAGGACTGACACTGATCAGATGGTTGTTCTTCTACGAGTGGAGAGGAACTAAAAATGTTCCTCTGTTGCAGATTTGGCTCATAGTCTTTTCTCAGAGTGTCCAACGATGGATTTATTCCTTTAACGTCAGCAGGCGTTTGAGCGGAAACTGCATCTATAGTCTTCTGTATCAGGACCTGGATGTCAAACAGAAATATAAGAAAACAGGCAATTAGAGCAAAAACGGATCCTGACTTCTTATTTTTAATATAATTTCAAGAAATACTGAAACTAAACAAACATCGGATCCTATCGATCTTCTATATGGAAGGACCTATTTGTTCTCATTGGGGTAGAGATTGTAAAGCTTCAGGGTGATAAATTACTTTTACTGTGATTTCACAACTTAAATAAAACATTTTTTTTTATTTAAGTGGTGATAGTTTAATAAAACTGTCAACGGTTTAGGAACCACTGACCTTTTCTTTGCATTTGAAGCCCACATTTATCAGAACATGATCAATTTTATTTATTTTTTCCTAACCGTGGGACAGCAGCTCCTCTGTGTAATTCTGATCCATTCTTCCAACCAAGGCTGTTATAACTGATTCAGGTGATGGAGTTTTTTTTATGTTTTATTAATATTTTCATAAAATGTCTTTTTCTTATAACTTCATTTACTGTTTAGTTCAGTATCCAACTGCTGTGAGACCCTCTCCTGCTAAAATGATGCTACCACTCCTCTACTTTATGGCGAAGCAATTTTAAAACCTTTTTCTTATGTTTTTTTTTTTTCATAAGTTAGATCTGCAGTGAATCAGCCAGCATCGTTCTCACCTCCAGGTCCTCCACAGTGAACTGATCGAAGGTGTAGAGCTCTAAAGGAAGGAAGCAGTCGAGGTCGTCCGCCTTCGGGAGTGACCCCACCTGACAGGAAGGGATGGACAACGGAGTTAGAGATTTAATAAAAGAGCAGAAAATAAACTAAAACACGATATTATGGACTTTTGTTAAATGCATTCACTAACTGTCTTTATGTGTTACCTTCATTTTGGTCAATTTGGTGTCTTTAATCAGTTTATAATCCCTCACAAAATTCTTTTGACTTTGATTTTCACTCAAATGTAAATGTTTTATATCACATTCTAATATTAACCATAAACTAATACAAAATCAAGGCTTGGTTCTGATTATTTCATGTATTAAATTCCAAAAAAAACAAAAAAAAAAAAACAAAGAACACTAGCCTTGTAAGAATAAACTGATGATTATTTAAGGGGGGAATAAATCACTAAACTAGGAAGTGCGTGGGAACATCATCTTGGAGAATTCAAAAAGCAACTGGTTATGTACCAAAGACGGTCAGGGACACAAACAGGATGGAAACAAACTCCAATGTTGTAGAAATGCTCACAAAGCAGCTTTTAAAGGCTTTAGAGCTCCAGATTTCTGAGGTGAAGGAGAGAAGATGGAGCCGTGGTGAACATGAGGTCTTCAGCCACTCATCCAGGTGGTCCCAAAGCAAACCAGTGCAGCTTGATTAAGTTAAGTTTTATTCATATTATTTAGGCATCAGAATGGGTAGAAATGTCCCCCATGGCTCAGTTCTAAGGAGAACGCCTCCTCTGACCATGATGATCTGAAATACCTCTGTGAGAATAATTATCAAAGGAGGAGAATGACTTGGTTTTCTAGTATGCAGTGTTAAAATAACACAGTTTTTGACTTTAGAGAAAGAACAAACATGTTCAGCCATGGAAGAGCTGCTCAGGTCTGGAGCTGCTTTACTGGTTCAGCACCAGGACAGCTTGCTGGAACTGATGGAACCATAAGATCTGCAGCTATAATAAGTAAATATAAATACCCATTTAATACCCTGTGCAATACCCTGTAATAATCATGTTAAATTAGAGACTTCA